GCAAACCTAACCTAACCATATGAATCCGCTAGGACCCCTACAGAGGCAAGTTCTGCTTGGGGAACAGAGTAACAACAAAGTTTTTTCTGACGCCAAAAGTTTGTGCAGGATTTCGGCTCAGCCATTTTGGCTCAAGGTTCTCACCTTCCCTGGGGCTAGAGCCTTGTCGCAGGCGACAGGGAGGTCCGAGTCTCCCGAGGTCAGGCCTCAACCCGTGAAGCTTTTGCAAGTTGTTAACACGAATGTGCGCGGCGCTGAGGCGAGAGCGACATGTTGAAAGCCATTCGCACCCAACCCGTGAGCACATTTTGAAATCGAATGTGCGCGGTGCTAATGCGAGAGCTACATTTTGATGAAGGGGCCGCCCTCAATCCGTGAAGCTCTTGCAAATGTTTTGAACGAGTGCGCGCGGCGCTAAGGCGAGAGCCACCTTCTGAAAAGGAGCCGCCCTCAATACGTGAACCTCTTGCGACTTGTTAAAATGAATGCGCGCGGCGCTAAGGCGACAGCCACATTTTGAAACCACTCGCCCTGAATCAGCGAAGTTCTTGCAAATGGTTAAAACGAATGTGCGCGGCGCTCAGGCGAGAACCACATTTTGAAAACGAGCCGCCCTCAATCCGCGAAGCTCTTGCACATTTGTAAAGAGAATGTGCGCGGCGCTTAGGCGAGAGCCACATTTTGTAAGTGGTGAGGACGTCTGAGGCAAAACGCCCGGCCCGCCCGAAAAACTGGCCTCGGGGTGCGACAGGGAGAAGTTATTTACAAGGAGACGGAATAGAGGAGGAGGAGAAGGAGAAGGAGGAGGAGGACAAGATAGGTGCGCTCGCGTCAAATCTGACGTCCTACCCCTCCCTTCCATCCTTTACCATGACGTAGATCTCCTCTTCATTCGCACATTCGGATGTCGAGCAGGGCTGTGGTCCCAGGAGGGTACGCGATGCATCGTTAAGCACGGCATAGTATGGTGCAGAAGAGCACTGCAGAGCGTAGCATGTCATAGCATGACGTGGCATTGCGTAGTGAAGCATTGCATCACGAACCGGCACAGTACACAACGCCGCGCTGCATGTCATGGCATGGCACCAGGCTCCTTGGGGGGTAAGTTGATCCTCGTCGAGATGTCTGGGTCGGTCTGAAATCGTGGCTTCATGTTCAGCTCCGGGGCTCTCCAGAAAACTCCGCACGAGGCGGGGCTGATGAAGAGAACCTGCTGGTTCTGCTTTCAACATCGCCTTCTCAAGTCAGAAACGGGCTCCCGTCTGAGACTTCCTCAAAACGACAACGCCCCAAACTGGTGGGGGCCTTCTTCGGCTTAAAATCAAAGAATCGACATCGGATGTGGAATCGCTTCCGATGTTTTTCTGCGGGGTCATGTTTTGAATTTGGGCCTATGTGGCAAGATGGGAAGCGTCAGCGCTTCAGCGGCCACGAAATTTGCAACGACCAGAAATCGAAACGCTCGGAAGCGCGGAAATGATGCCAGCGCTGCAGCGGGAGCACGATTCGGAATTAGCGGAAGCGCGAAACATGGTGAAAACACATCTAAACGAAAACCCATGTGCTGGGAAGCCTGTGTGTATAAAACAGTACGCGGAGGGGGGCCGGATATCTTCCGGACGTCATCAGGGGGAGAGGAGTGTAGTATTCATATGGTGCAATTGTGGAGGAAGAGGCGGAGTAGCAAACGCTAATTGTATTTTGGTCCCCCAGAAGCATGAGCCCCCGCTGCGGGCGAGCGGGACTCTGGGGAGCGGGGCTGGTGCCCGTCCCCAGGCGCCCTCCGCCGCGAATGGGAGCCCTTAAGCGCCCGCCTGCAGGACGGGTCGGGGCGCCCGCGGCGGTGCGCGCGACCTGGCCCCCCTGGATGGAGGGTTTCTCCGAAAGGCTTAGGCGACTCGTCGTCGTCCTCCTCCTCCTCCTCCTCCTCCTCCTCCTTCCCTCCTCCCTCCTCCTCCCTCCTCCTCCCTCCTCCATCCTCCTCCTCCTCCTCCTCCTCCTGCTCCTCCTCCTCCTCGTCTCCTCCTCCTCCTCCTCTCCTCCTCCTCCTCTCCCCCCCCTCTCCCTCCTGCTGCTCCCCTCCTCCTCCTCCTGCTCTCCTCCCTCCTCCCCCTCTCACTCCTCCTCCTCCTCCTCCTCCTCCTCCTCCTCCTCCTCCTCCTCCTCCTCCTCCTCCTCCTCCTCCTCCTCCTCCTCCTCCTCCTCCTCCCTCCTCTCCTCCTCCTCCTCCTCCTCCTCCTCCTCCTCCTCCTCCTCCTCCTCCTCGTCCTCCTCCTCGGGTCGCCTACGGCCCGAGGGCAAACCGTGCACCCCTGGAGGGCCGCATTCTGCGAAATGGCCGCGACGGAAAGAGCCTCCCTCGTCTTCCAGGGGTCGGCCCAAGCGGTGTTTTGGCGATTTCGTGGGCCGTTCTCTCTTCGATCTCGTTCTGCAGCAGAGGCTGATTGAAGGCAAAACGAGGGAAGACGAAGACAACACGAAGACGAAAAATACTGTTTCGGTCGATTCCCCGCCCCCTTCCCCCGAGTCAGAAAACTGCATAATCATAAACTTTGACGGCCCGCGCGGGTTTCTTGGGTCTGCGCTGGATCCCCCGCTGGCGGCGCCTCCGCGCCCCAGGGAAGGGAGGGTCCAGCACCGATTCAAAACATCCGCGCGGACCTCCGATAAATCATGTCTATGCAGTTGTTTGTTCCTCTATCCTCCCGCGATGGCCCACTCCCTCGATTCTGGGGCCTCCCAGATCAGGTTCGAGCAGATGGGGTCGACGGATCGTGCAGCATCGCTGATGTATCGGCGATGCGGCTCGACTCCCAGACCCCCGCCCCCCCGGCCCTGGGGCCAGAAGCAAGCCGCGGCCGACAGGTATTTGGCCAGCCTTCGGCCTTTAAGGAGGGCCCTCGCCGGGCCCTGGGGCCGTCAATCGGCGGCGAGCGGGGGGGGGGAAAATGAGAAGGGGCGACCCTGCTCAGAAGGCTCGGAAGTCCTCACGGCTTCCCCGAAGATGCAGCGAAAATTTATCAGAAGGCGCGAAGGCTTCTGAGACGTCCCACCGCCTTCCTAGAAGGCCTTCTCCTTCTCACTTCCCCCCCTCGCTCGCCGCCAAGTCGAGGAAAGGCCCGGGATGGAAGACCGATTCCTGGGGAGTGGTCGAGAGGTCGGGAGCCCGTGTCTCGAAAGACTCGAGACGTCGGATGTCGGGGTCCCCGCGCCGCCGCCTGCCTCGACTCCCCGCATCGAGCCGTCGTCGACACGAGGGGTCACCTGGGCGGCGGGCGGAGGGGAGCACACGGCACCACCCACACGCACTTATGCTATGTGTGCGTCGGCTCCGCCAGGGGCGACGCGACGCGCGCGCTCAGAAGTCTCAAATAGACCGTGGGAAAGCTCATGCCACGAAGCACACGGCTTGCCTCCAGGATGCCCTGGGTTTTTCTAGGGCTTCGATGGTTCTGCGATGGAAAGCGTGACGCTCCCGCACCAAAAACCAATAGTCGTCCTGGGGTCTCAGGGTTCGGTTTCTTTTGTAAGCTTTCTTGTGGTCAAGCTCCTATTGTATACTATGTGTGCGTCGGCCCCGCCAGTGGCGACGCGCGCGCGCTCAAAAATCTTACAGTATATGCTCGGCTGCGGGCGCTGTCTGGCCACACCCTGAGGAGGAGGAGGAGGAGGAGGAGGAGGAGGAGGAGGAGGAGGAGGAGGAGGAGGAGGAGGGGGGCGGCGCACCCTCCGAGGGCCTCCCATGTACTACATGTAGGTTCGGACGTGCGCCTCTTGAGGAGGGCGCATCGTTCTTTACGTCCTTCCGCGCCTCACCGCCTTTTTTTGTTTCTTCATCTCGGGCGTCTCCGCCTGGCTTCGGGCCCCAGGCCCTCCCAGGTCGACCTGGCCAGAAAGCTGACGCAGGAAGATGGGGCCTTTTTTTGTTTTGTTGTTTTTGTTGTTTATTGTTTTGCTTTTCCGTATATATATATATATATATATATATATATATATAACTGGTATCAGTGTTTTTCGTACTATCGCTATGTTTGGTTACCAGTATACTTATTGTATGTATCACCAATATCATTCTCATGATCATCATCATCATCATCAGCAGCAGCAGCATCATCATCACTATCAATATCATTCGAGTATGCGTATGATGATTGATTCTGTTGTCCTTATGAGTATTAGTATGAACATTATTATTACTATTATCAGCATGATGTCTGATAGTATTAGTATTATCATTTTTAAAAATTATTTCACCATTATTATTACCAGTTATTATTATGATGATGCTGATGATGCTGATGATGATGCTGCTGCTGATGATGATGATGATGCTGCTGATGATGATGCTGATGATGATGATTATTATTATTATGGTGATGCACTTCTGCATTTTTTCGCATCGTCGAATCTCAGGGGTGAAGAACGGCGCGCCTCTCGTGCGCCTTCGGGGACCCTCCAGGGCCCCTCCCAGGGCTCCTCTCCTGCCGCCCTCGATCCCCCCTTCCCCACTTGGCGGGTTCCAGAACGCCTGAGCCCCCCCGAGAATTGTAGCCGCTTCGAGGCGCAGCTCTCACTTCCGCCCTCCGCCGAGCCTCCGCCAGCGGAGCGGCCCTCGTTTTTTGTTCATCCGCCGGCTTCCGCCCAGGACGAGGTGGCACGTCGCGCCCGCGCCTCTGGCTCGTGCGGCTCCGTCCTCCTCCAGCCTGAGGCCTGGCATCGCTCGGACGTGTGCATTGTTCTCCCGGCGAGGACCCTCGAGGAGCATCTTGGGCCCTCTTGCGAACCCTGCACGCGCGACGTCGACAAATGCACGGGGCATGGACGTCCGAGCGAGGGCGACGGCGATGGGGTCGTCGTCGTCGTCGTCGTCGTCGTCGTCGTCGTCGCCGACGCCATGGGCACCCCCCGGGGGGCGGGCGGAGGGGAGCGCGGCTTCCCCGGGGGCTATGGCCCGCCAGCCTCCCCGTGGCCCGGGGCCGCCCGACCGCGGCGTGCGCCAGGTCTTCGCGCACGCCAGAGACGAGGACGGCGCTCTCCGAGGGGGGGGGGGGCGATCGCCACCAGCCGGAGACCATGCAGAGGGGGCCCATATCCAAGAAAGACCCTGCTTGCCTCCAGGGTGCCCTGGGCGTCTTGGGTTTCGATGGCTCTGCTACGGAGTACGTGCGTGACGCTCCCGCACCAAACATCGATGGTCGTCCTGGGGTCTCAGGGTTGGGTTTCTCGTGGAAGGTTTCTTGTGGTCGGGCCCCCACTGTACGGAGGTTCGGTAGCGATAGTTTTCTTTTTCGGTGCTTTGCCGATCGGCGCGGGTCCTCGCCCCTCGCCGCCCGCCCCCCCCCCCTGGAGTCGATCTTGGCCGGCTGTTTTTGGCGCCTGTTTCGAGCAGGTGGAGTAAGATGTCGATTCCGCCAGTTTTCAACCGTCTTGATTCCGTCTGTAGCGTCGACTCGCGTGGAGTGGCATCTGGCGTCGGCGGCGTCGGTCATCGTCGATTTAGCGTCGTTTGGCGTGGATCACCGTCGATTAGCGTCGGTTACCGTCGGCCAACAAGATGGGGGGGGGGCTCCCATGTGTCGCTACCGAACAGCGGAAACCCATACCAAGGAACACCGCTGGGTCTCTTTGACGCCGGGGCGTTTCGGGATCCAAGACCTCCGTCGAGCCGATTCCTTTTTGCCCATCTCGATGGGGTCCTTGGCCGTTGCTGTCAGATAGCATGTGTCAGAGCCCCGAATCATCAGGGGTAACTCGGGTCAGGGATAACTCGGGTTCGTTTTTCGGGAATCCAAACCCGAGTTACCCCGGACCCGAGTTATCCCGGATAACTCGGGCGTCCAGAGCCCCGAATCATCAGGGGTAACTCGGGTCAGGGATAACTCGGGTTCCTTTTTCGGGAATCCAAACCCGACTTACCCCGGACCCGAGTTACCCCGGATAACTCGGGCGCCCAAATGTGCTTTCTGCCGCGCCGCGCCGCCGGCGCAGGAGGGCGCGGAGGTGCTCCGGCTGTGCGCGAAGTGCCTGCAGCAGGCCCTCAGGCCGTGGGCGCGCGCCGCGCACGACGACGGACGACGGACGACGGACAACGATTGTGTACGACGGACGACCGGCGGCGACGGCGACGGCAACGACAGCGACGGCAACGACAGCGACGGTGATGAGCGACTGACGACGAGCGACGAACGACGTCTAGCGAGCGAGCGAGCGAGACGACGACGACCCCCTGACTTCTCCTGGGATGCGATCCGATCAGAAATTGGACGCGGATCCAGCCGTGTCGACGAAAGTGCCCGAGGAGGCCTAGAAAGGCAGACATCAGCTCCCACCTCGATACTGTAAGCTCGATTCTCGACCAGGCGCCGACGCCCCCGCCGACGACGACGAATGACCACGACGACGAACGCCGACGAACGAGCACGACGCCGAACGGCGGAGACGACGACCGCTCCCCAGACCTCTCCTGGTGCGCGTGCTGTCCAGACTTCCGCCGGTGGATCCCGCCGTGGCGGTTTGAGTGCCCCGGAAGGCCCGAGAAGGCCAGAGACTTAAGTCGGGCTTGCCCCTCTACAGGAGGAGCATTCAACAATAGCACAGACATGGTCTGGGGACGACTTTTTGAGGTTTCTTTGTAGCATTTCTGGAATTAGTTTTTTGAGTATTTTTTTAGTTTTTCGTCCGAACCCCCCCTGTGGCAGGACGTGCCCGACCCAACCCCAGACCCTCGACCCTCGAGCCCCGACCCCCCGGGCCTCGGAGCCCGAGCCTCGACCACGGCCACGCCCGGCGACGAGCGGCGAGCGGCGGCCCAGCGGCGGCCCAGCGGAGGCCCGCGGGAAGGGGCCCCGCGGAGGCCTTCCGAAGCCCCGACGCGCCCGTCGGGGGCAGCGATCATCAGGAAGGAAAAAAACACACAGACACAATTAATCGTCGATCCCCCAGAAAATACAGGAAAATATGGGAAGTCGTGGGAAAGACAAAAACCCAGAAAACATGGGGAATCTTTTTATTTGTGTGTATTTATTTGTGTGTCCCAGGGCCCCTTCAGATAAGGGGGGGAGGGACAGGCACAGGGGGGGAGGGATCGACCCCCAATCGCCCATTGATCGCCGATAGGGACCCGATAGGCCCACCCCGCCCAGGAAGGTGCGGAGTCACTATCGGGGGCTCATCGCCGATCCATCGACGACGTATCGCCGATTCTGGGTCGATGCATCTCCCCTATGCCTATCCCCCCCTGTCGTTGCCCCAACGCGCCCAGAGCCGCTCCGGACTCGGACCTCCAGTGTCTTCCCTTTCCTCCACCTGGGGTTCCTTTTTCAAGCTCATCTCTCTGCTCGTCCCGGATCCGTCTTCACGGTCCTCCTCCCCCCCGCTACGAGTGTTCATCCTGTTGCCATGGGTACTTGTGCTCATTTGTGTCGGCGCTTTTTCCGTTCTCCTGAAGCGTTGGAGGTCCGGGGACGCCTCGACGCCTCGACGCCTCGACCCTCGGCGCCCGGCGGCGCCCGCCGCCAGGGTCGGGCCGTGCCTGGAGGCGCTCGCCGAGCTCGGCGCGCCGAGGGTCCCGGGCCTGGCTGGCCAGGATCGCATCGGGTGTTTCGTCGTCGTCGTCGCCGTCGTCGTCGTCGCCGTCGTCGTCGTCGTCGTCGTCGTCGTCGTCCAGGATCGCATCGATGGGGGGCGAAAGTTGGGCGTTCCAGACAGGGCCTCTCCTTCGAGGGTCGCAGGGATTGGCACGTCTCCCTCGCCTGAGATCCTGGCGCTCCGAATTCGTCTCAGCGGGCGTTTTCGCCCAGTTTCGGGCCCCAGGTGTCGCTGATCGATCCGGTTCGAAACATGATGCTGAGTGATCGGGTCCGGGGCTCCAGTGGTGATTTTCTGCGATGCTGCATTGTGTTTTGCAACCTCAGATCTGAGGGAGCGGGGCGTTACAGGAAGGGCCTCGCCTTCGAGGATCGAAGGAGTTGCTTCCGTGCCCTCTTCAACGGCTGAAGACTTTGCCTGCTTGGGCGGCATCCAAGAAAGTAGGTGGACAGATGAGCAAGTAGTCTGAGCCCGCAAGACCGACCGTCGGGGACCCAGGATGGGAGGACGGTAAAACCCCAGAGGCCTGAGGAGATTTGCCTGGGCAAGCTGGGAGAGGACGGAGCGGCACGAGGCTAAGACTCGGGCGTCGACATCACATCTCTTCCTCGGCAGAAGTAAGACGAAGCCAGGACGAGGATAAAATCGGGTGGGGATAAATCGAGAATCTCTGTGATCCAGCGGTTCTGGAGGAGGTCTCGGGCGCCACGGCCTTCTCAGAGCGTTCCACAACGCTCTGAGAGCGTTCCGGAACGCTCTGGAACGGATTTCCCATCGTCCTGGCCCCGCCCGGGGAAGACTGGCAGAAGCTGGCGGAATTACAACGGAGCCTCATCGGCTCAAGGATTCATCGGCCGTCCCCTTTCCGAGTCGAGTCGCAATTCCTGGACCAGCCGTGCGCATTGGCTTCGGTGCACCGTCTGTCCGTGCCGTCACAGTCTTCAGTAGCGCCTCGACCACCCAGTACGAGAATCATAATGATGTTGCGACCATCGAAGGCAACCATGTCTTCGCCTACGGCCGTGGGCATCTTCGTCCTCGCTGCCGTGGCCAATCACGTCTTTGCCGCGGTGGACAACCTCGCATTCGGTTGCGCAACCAACGGGGGAAGTTTTTGGTCGAGTACACGTTTGGGCCTCAATGCTGCGACCGTGTCGGTTCGTGTCGGTAAGAAACGCTGACCAGCAATCCGAGTGTTATGAATTCTTGACGCTTCGTGTAGCCCCACCAGAGGTCGTAGCTTTGAATTCGCTTTTTGTACTGTGCACGTGCATATGCAAACCTGCGTGCAGGCGCGTTTCGGCTTGTCATCCTGGCTGCTGCGTTCGCTAATTCGCACTGTGCCGCTGCCCCGGACACTGCTCTCGCCGCCAGACCGTTGTCGCGCGGCCGCAATCAAAAAAACATCCCCACCAGCCCATCCAGAAACGACGCCCAGGCGAGTCGAGGTGATCAGGGAAGTGTAGGAGCAAAGACGGGGACAGCCGAACCGTTCGAAGGAGGAGGAGGAGGACGGACGGACGGACGGACGGACGGACGGACGGACGGACGGACGGACGGACGGACGGACGGATGGATGGATGGATGGATGGATGGATGGATGGATGAGGGATGAGGGAGGAGGGAGAAGGATGATGAATAGGATGAGGAGGAGGAGAAGGAGGAGGAGGAGGAGGAGGAGGAGGAGGAGGAGGAGGAGGAAGGAGGAGGAAGAGGGCGAGCAAAAGGGCCAGGGGCTCTTGGACGCCTTTCGGAGTCTCTTGGGGTATCTGTTGGGCGCATCTTTGAGGCCTCGTGGGGCGTCTGGGGGGTCCCCTCGCGGTCCAGAGGGGCTCTTCGCGTCTTGGGCGCCTCGGGGGGGCCTCTTGGGGCCGCTTGGGGTCCTTTGGGAGCCTCTTGGGTGCCGTTTGGGGGCCTCTTGGGGGCCTTTTGGGGCCATCTCTGGGCCTCTTGGGGCCTCCTGGGCGCCTCTTGGGGCCACCTTGGAAGATTCCGATCAAAAAAGAGGGGGGTTATTTTCAGCCCAAAGATCGTTTCTTGGGGCGCTCTTGGGGCGCTCTCGGGGCGCTCTTGGAGCGCTTTTGGGCGCTCTTTCGGGCCGTCGTGGAGCTCTCTTGAGCCTCTCATGGGGTCCTCTTGGAGCCATCTTGAAGCCTCGGATGGCCATCGGAAGTGAAAAGGCGAGGAAGCAAACAACAATGATTATCCACAGGTTTTTGCAGACTTGTGCCTCTTCGGGGCGTCCTCGGGGAGCTCTTTGGCGCCACTCGGAGCCGTCTTGAGACAGTTTTGGGGCCTCTTGGAGCATCTTGGGTGCCATTTTGAGGCATCTTGCGCTATCTTGAGCCATCTTAGAGGTCTTGGGCTCTCCGAGGCACTCTTCGAGCCATCATGGGCCATCTTGGACGCTCCAACGCGTCGCGCCCCCCCCGTCCAGGTCCAGGGTAGGGGGTCGGGGGAGGGGTCAAGACGCCCTCTCCGCCCGCAAGCCGTCTCGCTCACTCCCACCCGCCCTCCCAACACATACATAGCACCCGAGCCTGGCCGGAGCCGCAGCATATGCAGCAGTCGTCTGTGGATGTGCAGCTACTCGGGGCCAATCCGCCGCCGCCGCCGCCGCCGCCGCCGCCGCCGCCGCTGCCCGCCGCCGCCTCCGCCGCCGACGCCGCCGCTGTCCGCCGCCGCCGCCGCCACCGCCGCCCGCGCCGCCGCGCCGCCACCGCCGCCGCCGCCGCCGCGCCGCCCCCGCTGCCGAATCGTCGCTGGCCGAATCGTCGCCGCCGCAGCCGCTGCCGCGCCCGCTGCCGACACCGCTGCCGCCGCCGCCGCCACCGCCGCCGCCGCTGCCGCCGCCGCCCCCGCCGCCACTGCCGCCACCGCCGCCGCCACCACCGCAGCCGCCGCAGCCGCTGCCCCCGCCGCAGCCGCCGCAGCCGCCGCCGCCGCCAAGTGTACTCTGTATTGCTTTTGATAGGGATGGTGGGCGGAGGCCGCGTCGGGTGCGCTGCGCATGCGCCGAATTTGGAGGCAGAGTGTGTGTGTGTGTGTGTGTGTGTGCCGTGTGGTTTTTTACCACGGATGGTGGGGGGTGCCCTCATAGACTCGGGTTGACTCCCAGTCGCCTGGGAGAGGGGGTGTATACTAATGGGGAACAGTGATTAATAGGGAACAGTGACAAGCCCCTCCCCGGGGAATAAGGGGGTTGGAAGAGGAAGCGGCCTAGACCACCTACGCCCAGAGGGCTGGTGGGATTTCCACGTGCTGTGAGCAATCGGAACTCGAGCTACTGGGAGGAGCAAGGACACAGGGTTAAGATGCAGCGCTTTCGACGGGTACTACGCGCGATGTGTCTTTGGAGATGCTCCTCATGTTCCTCAATTGCCTTCGTCGCTTTGCCAATGATATTTTAAACGATGCCACGCACGTCAACTTCCTAGCTCTCGCTGTTGGGTATCCCTCTCACGACGGACCCATTTTTCTTGTCTTGGTTTCCGGCTGCGCTCAGGTTGTTGAGAAAACGCTGGGTGACAAAAAATGTTGCGCCTCGGGAGAGCGCTGGCTCGCGGCATCTCCCGCTGCGTAACCTTTGTTGGTAGGGAAAGGCGCAGATCGTTTGCAGTGGCCTCTCGGGGTTTGCAGTGGCCTCTCGGGGCCCTCTGCCCCGGGAGGGTGCGCCTCCAGCCTGGCCCCTCGTCGTCTTCCTTCTCCCTCGCCCGTCGGCGCCAGCGAGTCCCGAAGTGATGTGAACGCCGCTGCTTCTCATATCTGCCGGATGGCCGCCCACCCCCCGCAGGGGGCCATGGGCGCCTCTCCTGCAGCGCCGCCTCCGCAGAGGCGGGAGCGAGCCGGATCGATTCGTGAGGATCCTGTGGCACGAAGCCTAGCGACAACGCCCGGTGCGCAAAAGTTGCAACGCCCCGATCTCGGGGGCCTTCCCGTTCGTTTGCTCCCCCATTGTCGGACAGGGTTCGGACGCGGGTAACTCCGTTCAGGGCGTTCAGGAACCTTCTCGGAGCGTTCGGGAACGCGTTGAGGAGGCCGCGGCGCCCGATGCATCCTCCAGAGCCGCTGGGTCTCAGAGATTCTTGATTTATGCACGCCTGAGCTTGTCCTCGCCCTGGCTTCGTCTTAGGTTTTCGTTGCCCCTTCTTGGAACCCTGCCCGACCGCAGCCGGGCCCTCTTTCGGGGCGCGCGCGCACGCTCAGCGCCCGATGTGCGCGTCTGGCGAGTTTTGGCAGACCGCGGCGGCGGGCCGCGGCACGGCTTTGGCGGCGGCGGCGCGTCTCGCGCGGCCGCGCGCCGACAAAGAGGATGAGCAGAAGGAGGAGGAGGAGGAGGAGGAGGGAGGAGGAGGAGGAGGAGGGAGGAGGGAGGAGGCGGAGGCGGAGGCGGAGGGCGGAGGCGGAG